ACTGCCCACTACGTGCCAGGCCCTGTCTGTGAGCTGCAGACACAATATGAACCACAAATACATCCAAATGCACACAGTCAGCCTAAAATAAAGTCCAAGCACGAGGGCGTGTGATCAGTCCCCCACACCCCCAAATCCCTTTCTGCCACGTGTGAAACCCTTCCACACATTAGAGCCAAGCATTTCCCCTGATTGTGGAACTGTAGACCTCTCCCCTGCCCCTCTAACATGTGCTGAGCGTCCACCTGGGCCAGGAGCTGCTGTGGATGCCGCAGGTGGGGAGGTGACCGCCGCCCCACCCTGCCCTGTCAGAGCTCGCACCCAGGCAGGACCAGCTCACAAAGCCACCAGCCACCAGCAACAGCCTGAGGATGGGCCCTGGTCAGGGCTGAGCACAGGGGACAGGGGGTGGGCACGGGGCTTCCTAGAGCAGGAGGCCTGAGGGCGCCTCTAGGAAGCTGGTTTATGGGGCAAGGAACGGAGGCTGAGCACCTCTCCCCGCAATCTGAGGCCCTTTTCTGCACAGGGCCAGAGATTAATAGTCAATATTTCAGCCTTTGTGGCCATGGAGTCGGTCTTTCCTCAGCTCTGGCCCAGCAGCAGGAGAGTGGCCACAAAGTGCAAATGCGTGTGCAGGGCAGTGTGCCGATAAAGCTTTATTTATAAGAGCAGGTGGTGGGCTGTGCCGACACCTGGCCCACAGGACTGTCTTGTCTGGCTGCCGGCACCTCTCGTGTCTGAGCTCCCCTCCACTCACTGCCCTCCACGGGTCCTCAAGGCTCTGCCCAGCTGTCCCCTGGGGTCCACTCCCCCACTGCCCTGCATTCAGGTTTCTGCCCGACATCACTTCCACAGAGAGGCCTTCCCTGCCGCCTGCTGGAATGACACCTCCACCCCGGCTGAGTGTTTTCAACGACCCTAATCGCCTTCCGACACGGTGGTACAAATGCCCACTCTCAGCCCCCTCCGCTGTAAGACTGTAAGACCTGCAAGGGCAGGGTTATTTCTTATTTGCCAGAGTGTCCCCAGGGCCTGGGGTAGAGCCTGCTGTAGGAGGGGGGGCTCAGGTTTGTAGAAGGGAGGGGGAGTGAGGGAAGAGAGGGAAAGGAGGAAGAACGGAGAGCAGGAGGGAGGAGGGAAGAATGGCAGACGGGAGGGATGGAGCGCTGAGTATGCGCAATTCAGGAGGGGTCCTTGCAGCCTCTCCCCTGCCCGGGCAGCTCTGCTGCTACCCAGCCCGCCCTTGCAAAGCACACGGGCCCCACACATGTCCCGAGGCCCGGCCCCACAGGAGGGGAGGAGAAACACAGCTTCCTTCGCCCCCAGCCATGAAGCCCTCCTTACCGTGGAGTTTTCATCCTTAAAGAGGTTTTCCCCTCTGGCTCTGGCGAGGAGCTCCCCAGGGCAGCCGAGCTGGTGCTCAGACACAAACTCGAACAGGCTGTTCTTCCTGCAAGCGAACAGGGTGAGGAGAAAGCACGCAGCAGCGCGGGTGAAGAACAAGGCCTTGGAACCAGACACACCCAGGCTTGGGGCTTGAATTGCTGTAAGACCTTCTCTGAGCCTCAGCCTCCTCGTCAGTGACAGGACGCTAGGAAGGACCCTGACGGTTCGGTTCTGTGATCTCATCCCTGCCTGTGCAGCGCCTCGCTTCGCAGGAGAAACCCGCACTGCGTGGGAGCCCCACTGACGCGGGGGTGCGGCAGGACGCCTGCTCTGTTCCTGCACGGGACTGCTCAGCTGGGTCCCGGCTGCTGCACTAGGAAGTGGTGACGTCGGACTTTGAACTCAGCTCCGTCTGTTCTACAGCCTGTCAGTGTCCCACCGCCCCTCACTGCCTCTTCCCAGAGCAGGCTCCCCCTTCCAAGTGCTGACGGGTCCCTGCACTGCGAAAGCCCCGACCATGCCCTTTCTCTGCAGAAACCAGTCCAGGCCACGTACCACATGATGACGAGCTGGATGAAGTGCAGCAGTTTCTTCTCCCCCTTGCAGGTGGCGCAGGTCTTGCTCCCCCTCCCTGAGCACGTGCTGCACCTGAGAAGGGCACACGGTTGGTACCCCCAGATCAGTCACAGGGCCCAGTGGCGTCTAGAGGCCCCACCCCCAAATCCCTCTTCGTGGAGGTGGCCTGTGGTGGGCCCGAATTGTCTCTACCTGCCCACCATCTATCTATCTAGCTCCTCCCTCTCCTGATGGCAGTGCCTCAACATCCCTTTGGGGACCACCCTTCCCCCACTCAGCCCACGTGGCTCTTGGGCTTGCCCCCACCCCTTCCGTGACCAGCTGGGACCTCGGCCTGGCCAGTCATCTTATTCCATCTCCCTGGCCGCAGTGGCTGATACAAAGATGGGCACATGATCCAGGTGAGTGCAACGAGATCTACCCCAGGATGTTTGTTGGAACTCTCAGGAAAGGGACATTCTTTTCTTCTGAGGTTCCTAAGCCTGGAGCTACAGGTGGTCCCCTCTGCCACTACAGGGGACCACCCACCTGAGAATGAAGCCCACACAAAGAAAGCAGAGTGAGGGGAAAAGACAGATTCCTGGTGACATTGTTTAAGCACCCGGATCCAGCTGGGCCTGAAGCCATCCCAGAAATGTACCCCTGGACTTTACCATTACCTGGCCCTGTAAATTTACTTTTTCACCAAAGCCAATTTAGACTGGATTCCTTTCACTTGCAAATATAAGAAAAATGAGTTTCTCTCCAAGCCAAAGACCCTCTTTACCAACCGCAGTGGAAGGTACACCAAAGCTTCTCTGTCTGGCTTGTCAGAAGGGTGGCCTAGGCTTTGATGAGGCAAAAGTGTCATTAACCAGCCCAACTTTGAATATTTTCACTTCCCACAGTTTCTGTTTCCCTTAAAGATTCATAAATACATTCAAGGACATGATTTACAAAACACAATGGTCCACTCTATTTGCAAAGCGCTGTGAGCAGAGATGGAACTTTGTCAATTGTTTAGTCAATCAACCAACTTTCCTTGACTCTGCCTCCATTCACTCCCCACTATGAGTTACAAAATAGGAGTTCGCCCAGGACCTGATCCTCGAAAATCTCACCTTTGGTGGTTTTCTACATTCACTTCCCACCACGTAGGTGGAAGGTGACCCATCCCGCCCCCTCCCTGCTGCTCCTCCGTCCTCACAGCAGACCCTCTATGGCTTGATGAGTTCCAGCCTTATCCAGAAATGCCTTGAGAAAAGCTCACCCGCCCTACTAATAACCACAGAGCACCACTGTGCACGCAGCTCTAGGACACGGCGGTGACACACGGGCAGGCCCTGCTTGCCTTCCAAATGGGCAGACAGTGGAAAGTCAGACAGGCAGCAAGCAGGAGCCCTCACTGCATGTGGGGAGACCCGCCCTACCTCCGCCTGCCGGACCCCGCACACAGCTGGCACCTGCGGGACTGCTTGGCTTTGCGCCTGGCTCCGCTGCAGGACGGGCACCTCACCTGCGGACACATCACAGCCTCAGCCCCTGCCGGCCTCCCAGGAGGGGAGGCCAAGGGCGTCCCCAGACCTGGTTCAAATCTCAGCCTGGCGACCTTGGCACAAGGCATTTCCTCCCCCTGGGCCTCAGCCCCTTCATCTGTAAAATGGGAGATTTGCACGTGAGGGTATCTTTGGACTCTTCCAGTTGTAGCTTTCAAAGACTCCGCGTCCTAAGACCACTGTCAGCCTCTCCGGCCTCCTCTCTGACTCCTCACAAGCCCTGAGACCCACCCCACTCCAAGCGTGGAGAGGGAGCTGGGGCAGGAGCAGCTGTCCAGGCCCCTGGGTGCTGGAGACAGGAGGCTCCTTTTTTGGGAATGGCCGCAGAGGTGGCCCGGGCTGTGTCCCACAGCTGGCTCAGGGTGGCTCTGGAAACATTCCAGGGAAAGCCTGGGGGAAGAGAACGGAGTGAGGGCAGCAGGGATGGGGGAGGAACAGGGAAGACCACAGGGAAGGACCCCGGGAAAGCACAGGAGGCAGGTGGCAGGAGTGGGGACCTGGGAGGAGAAAGAGGAGCTGGGCCTAGGCCCTGGCTCGGACCCAGGGAGGCTGCAGGAGTGGGTGGGGGACACGTGAAGGGTGGAAGGGCCACCAGTGGGGAGAAGGACGGATAAGACAGTTCAGAGCGGCCAGCGCGTGTCCGAAGGACTGGGCTCCAGTGGGGGAGCAGAGAACACATGAAGAGCTCGATCCTGCTCCCCGGGACGGCTAGCAGCCCTGAAGGTTTCTAGAAAGACAGCGAATGCCACAAAAGCTGGCTGTCTGCTGAGGGCCCCGTACTGGATTGCACAGTGCTCCCCCCACATTCAAGTCCACTGGACCCCCCGAATGTGAGCTCATTTGGATGTGGTCTTTGCAGACGTAATTAGTTACGACGAGGTTGTGAGCCCTCACGTAGAGCAGGGTGGGCCCTGAATCCAGTGACTGGTGTCCTTATAAGAAGTCCGTGTGACAGCAGAGGCAGCGATTGGAGTGACACAGCCACAAGCCGAGGAACTGAAGGACCACCAGCGGTGGCCAGAGGCCAGGAGAGAGGCATGGGATGGTCACTTTCTCAGAGCCTCCGGAAGAACCGACCCTGCCGACTCCTTGGCTTTGGGCTTCCTAGGAAACTGACAAGGCCCTGTCTTTCTTGTCTCTCAAAGCCTTCCAGATGTCACCTTCTCAGCACCCATCACCCTGTACTTCACGTGGGGTCACTTGCCAGTTTCCCCCACAGACGCAGAGACCCTGGTGGGAAGGACCCAAGGCCTCAGTCCTCTTACAGGGCCCGGCACCAAGTAGGTGCTCAATGAATGTTGGCAGAATTAAAATCATACCATCAAAGTGAAAGGGTCACTAGAGACCACCCAATCCAAATTTCCCATTTTACAGATGGGAAAATGGAGGCCCAGAAAGGGAGGATGACGTGCTCGAGATGGTAGCGGAGGAAGCCCCAGGCCCCCAGCCCAGCCCTCCGCCCCCGTGTCTGCCCCCTACGCCCTCGCTTACTCACCAATGGCCCACACATGACTCACCACGCCCGCCCCATGGCAGCCGCTGCACTTGTACCGCCCACGCCCGTGGCATTTGTGGCATTCCTGAAAGTGAAATGTTCCCCTTGGACCCCGTTTCCCAAGTGCCACCTCTCCCACACACACAATGTCACCATCTCAAACAGAGATGCAGCGGTCAGGACCAGGATAGATGGCACGAGGAACAGCTCTTCCCGTTTGACGAGGATTCCAAAAGGCTGGAATGCCTTGGTAAGGAGATCATGCTGCCATCCCAGTCTGTCCTGCATGCTAGGAAGGGGAGGGGTGTCCTCCCAGCCCCACATCCCAACTCACGCTCCGCAGTTTCCTGCCCGCCCACAAAGGCTGATGGCGTTCGCCCATGAGGTAGCTCACGTGGTCGTGGGGAACAGAAGTCATAAAAACGGACAGCATCGCGTGAAAGGCAATGAGCAGCTACTAGGATTTAATCACTGAATCAAAATAGCTTTTCCACCCTCGAGAGAAGAATGGGACACTTCCTTGACCTCTCAAAGTCCTCTTCATCTCGCAACTCTATGAAAACTCATGGAGTAAACTACATCCCTGAATCAAGCCCCGAAGTGAAAACGAGGCAGTAATCAGACGAGGACACAGGACGAGATATCTCGGTGACCCGGCAGGTTTCCCTCACTCCAGGCCATGATCACATTTCCGTAGACAGGATGGAAATCAGATTCTGCTTCCCTACTGACTTCCACAGAAAATCCCAACGGTGTTTAGCTATTTCATGTCGAGTTCCTTCAGCACCCCAGCTGTTTATTGTCAGGCAGAAAATGAACACGGAAAGCGCACCCAGATGGTCTGTGAACACACCTGCTCACCACCGGTGACGATTTTGTAACTGGGATGATCCTTTCGCTGCGTGAACACTCCCTAATTTCCTCGGGATTTTGTGTGGGACTCCATTCCATACTCTGGGTTTTCTTAAGTTAACTGATAACCAAGAAGTGAACCCCCAGCGTGGATTTGGGGTTTCCCTTCTAAAAGGGTAAAGCTGGAGGAGTTTGCAGCGCCTGGGAAACCAGCTCAGAGAGAGGCGAATACTCTGACGATCGCGTTACCTTGACGGACGATGAGTGAGGCACTTGGAACTTCCTGGTGTCTTCCTGAAACATCGGGGGGACCTGGACCTTGACGTCCCAGAGGCTGGGGAAGGCACCTCTTTGTGGCCCATCCACTGGGTGGTCTGACACAGAAAGGGATGATCATAAAAACAACAAAGTGCAGCAGCAATAAACTTTCATTTATTCAGCAAACAGCACCAAGCCTTCACTCGGTGCCAGGCGTTAGTCTAGATCCTGGGCTACTGGGATGGGTAGACAAAGGTTCCTTTGGAGTCTGTGATTCAGTACCCAAGCTTTAGACTTGGGCAGACCTGGCTTTGACACCTGGCTCTTCTACTTCCCAGCTGTGTGACTCCAGATAAGTTACTTAACCTCTCTGAGCTTCAATTCTCTTGTCTCTAAAATGAGGATAAAGGTGGCACCTACTCTGTAGGACGGTAGTGAAAATTAAATAGAAGAATGTGTATAAAATGGTTAGCACACGGGCTGCCGCATACTGAGGAGTCAATAATCAAGAACTACCGTCATTATCACCACCACCCCCTTCCCCATCCCACCCTCTCTTCCTCTTTCTCTTCCTCCACAGCACTCAATCACAGGAAGATGGGACGGGCTATGCTAAGTGCTTTGGACAAGAGATGCGTAAAGGGCTCCGAGAACTCAGAAGACTGACCCCTCCTGCTGGTCAGGGGGCGGCGGGAGGAGAAATCCTGAAGGGCTTCATGAAAGAGGTGACCCGTGAGCTGGGACTTGGAAGAATGAACCAGAGTGGTCCCATAGAGAAAACAGGTAGGACATAGGGCTTCCCAGACAGAGAGACTTGGGCCTCTAGTGGGCTTCAGCAGAAGGTGGGACAGCAAGGAGAGCGGGAGCACGGGGTCTAGAGACTCGGGGTGCTGGGGTGGCATGGGGTGGGGCGGCAGATGCCCAAGCACACATGCTGCTTGGCAATCTGGCCCTGGGTGGCAGCACCAGCCTGCAGCCAAAGGCAAATGCCAGGCTTTTTCGGGACCTCCTGCAAACCGCTTCCCAGGCAGGAAGCATTTGCTAAGGTCAGCAAAATCCCTGACAGCCAAGTCCACCCCCCATTTCACAGGGGGTGGGGAAACCAAGTGCTGATATTCTCCTGCCTTATTTGCCCCCCGTTAAACTGGTTTCAGACAAGTCACTTACTAGTAAAGGGTTGAAACGTCCACTCGCTTATCCTGGACTCGCTGAAGGTCTCTAGTCGATACTAAGGGAAAAAACCAGCACGTTCACGGTCACGCCCTCTATTAAAACAGCGTTGTGCAAAGAGATGGAGCCCCACCTGCCGGAGACGGGGGAAGTGGAAGTTCCCACGCATGGGAGGGCCTTATCTGCCCGATGTCAAGGTCCTCTTCTTGGTCCCCATCCACAGAGCCACAGAGTGGGAAGGGATCTCGGCTTCCCTCGGCTCCTTTCACACGTGAGGAAACGGAGGCTCAGAGAGGTCAATTGGCTTGCCCAAGGTCACACAGCCACGCAGTGGCCTCTTCCTCCAGATCCCTGCTCTAACCACGACCTGAGAAGCTCATGTGGTTTTTGTGACTGTGTGCTCGTCAGAGGACGGCTGTGTCAGTGACACCAGAACATGTGAGCATAAAGGCCGCCCCTCCGCCCTGTCAGAGCAGGAGACAGAAGGGCCTGCTGGGATGTGGGTACCGAGGTGGGATTTCCCGGGAGCCATGAACAAATGATTCCTTGCGCGGATGCGACTGGGGGGATGCAGCAGGCATCCCTCGTGGCAGGGCGGCGTGAGCACACGGGCTTTGGGGCCAGCAGGCCTGAGCCTGAACCCCAGCTCTGGCACGTTCCCGGGCGAGTGACTTTGTCTCTCCAGACGCCAGCCCTCCTCGCAAACGGGTGACGGCGCTACTGCTGTGCAGGGCGGCTCTGAGGCTGGGACAGGGCGTGCGTGTGGCGTGCTCCATGCCCGGCAGCCGCGCTCGTCGGCGGTGAGACGACGCTTCCTCTTTGTGCCACTGCTCACGGCCACAGCCCAGAGCAGGCGCAGAGGGGGCGCAGAGCCACACCGTCCACACACGCCGCCCGACGCCCTTCCCGGCTCGCGTCGCACGAACAGCGCCCTCCGCCCCGCAGCCCCCGGCCCCTTACCCGGCACAGCGTCCGCTGCCTCAGCTCCCGGATGACCAGGCTGCCGGCCGCTGCGCTGCCGTAGCAGCATTTCGAGCTCACGAAGCTGAGGAGGGCTTCCCGGGCCTCCTCCTCCGTCACCACGGGGGTTCTGCTGGGGACAGAGCAGGGCGGCATGGGGCTCCGCTGGGGCCGGCCAGCCTCCTGGATGTGCAGGCAGCAGTGGCAAAGCCCTCGGCTGTCCGGCTGGAGAGGGCGTCTCCCGCAAAGGGAACCACGTGGCCAGGCGCCAGGGTGAGAGAGTGGCAGGTCTCTCCAGAGAACCGCGAACCGCTTTAGCTGAAGTGTGGCGCTCAGGAGAACAGCGAAAGAATGTTGAAACTCAGAAAAAAAAAACTACAAAACTTGAAGATGAATTATACCATTTTACAGCTGGGGAAAACAGGTCCACAGAGGATGTCACACAGTTAAAAGGAGGCAGGGACAGGCTAGGTGCGCCCCTGCCCTCAGGGGACATGACCTTGGCCAGAAGAGCTGTGAGCGACAGGAGGAGAAGACCCCAGCCGGGAGCTGGCCCACGGCCCACGTGGCGCCCACGGAGACTCACCCGCGGACACGGGTGGGAAGGCAGATGGGGCCTGCCTCAGCCCTGCCTCTGGACACCTCGCCCTCCTCCTGGGATACGCCTCTTCCCTGGGGCCGTGCCACCTCTTTAGTCAAGCCCTTCCACCCCAGCGCCTCCAGCAAGAAGGTACCCTCTGCTCCTGGCATCTTCTTATATTTCCCTGGGGCAGCCCTGACAGCCATTAACCCCGACCCATCCACCCTGTGTCTCCAGCTGGAGTTCGTAGCCCCGGATCTAGACCATGGTTTTCAACCCCGGCTTTGTAGCCAAACGACCCAAAGAGCTTGGTAAAATGTGAATTCTCAGGCCCTGTCCCGAGAAGCTGGTCCAGTGGGTCTGGGAGTAAGAGGGTCCCCTCAAGGGGCACTGTCAGGGTTGAGGTCACCAAGGAGGGCTCTCGCAGGGCAACAGGGACACATAGGAATACAGGTGGGAGCACGTCAAAGCACGACCTGAGGCTCACCTGTGCTCCAAGAACGAAGACCAGGGCCTTTGCTCCTGGGGCCTCCCCGGGGCCTCCAAAGGTGGGAAGAATATCTGTTGTCCTGGGGAGAAGGGAGGAGTCAGGGGCTAGACGCCCCAGCTCAAAGAAACAAACGCGTGTGGGGTGAAAGAAGGAAAGACCGACTGCGTGTGAGAAGGAACAGATGAGGGAAGACGGGGACGCGGTCCTTGTACGGAAAGCAGACGGCGTGGGGACCCCAACACCAGCATCATTCAGGCCCTAGATGGACACGATCGTGGTCGCGGAATGTCCGTGGGCACAGGGCCTATGCCCCGTCCCTTCCTTTCCCACCCACCCGTGACGAGGGCTTCCCCGGACCCCCCAAGGCTATCTCAGCACTGGCCTTTTCCAGAGACATCCCCACCAACCGGCAAGGGCCACAGGAAGAGGCCCCAGGAACCAAGACCCCATGGACTTACTGTCCCCTTGAAGAAGCCGGTCGTAGCTGGGCAGCTGCTCCAGGAGCTCAGCGGGGGGCGCCAGAGGACTCTCAGCCTCCAAACTGAGGTCCGCCACACCTGCAGGGAGACAGGCAGCCCTGAGCCTGGGCGGGAGGCTGGGGGCAGGGGTTGTTGACGACATTACGGGAAGCTAAGAAATGAGGGTGGTTGTGTTATAAAGAGCCCCGCAGTTTAACTCAGCCAGCCTCACTCTGGCACCCTGGCACATAGAGCACCCCTGCAAGGCGGGCAGCGGCGGTGGCAGCAGCAGCAGAAATGATGACCATGAGAAAAACATGAAGAATGGCAGCTCGATTTGCTTCTCGGATGACCTGAACTGGCTCCCAAGCACTAGCCCTGTTCCGCCAGCGAGGAAACTGAGGCTCAGAAAGGTTGCGGCTCACCCAAGATCATGCAGCCAGCAGGTGGCGGGCGGGGCTGGATGCCACCCAAGGCTTGTCTGGCTCCAAAGTTCATGTTCTTTCCAAGTACAGCCAGTGCCCTACTTAGGATGTTCGACCTGGGATTTTTCAGCTTTACAATGGTGCCAAAGCAATACACATTCATTCGAAGCCGAATTTCAAAATCTGAATTTTGATCTTTTCCCAGGCTAGCACCATGCAGCACAGTACACTCTCGTGGTCCCGGGCAGCAGTCAGCCACGGCTCCGGCTCAGGCACGGGACCACGAAGGTGAACAACTGCCACTCCAAGCGCACTGTGTTGCCTGCCGATTCGCCCACTGCAGGCTAATGCGCGTGTTCTGAGCGCGTTTAAGGTCGGCCAGGCTCAGCTGTGATGTTCTGTAGGTTAGCTGTCTTAAATGCACTTTCAACTCGTGATATTTCTGACTTGCAGTTGGTTTGTCAGGAAGTAAGCCCATCATAAGTCAGGGACCACCTGTACTTTTCATGAGGTGAAACCCTACGAAAAAAATCATTCACGATGTAACCTGTTTTTAAAACCTCACGCCGGGCTGGGTGCAGTGGCTCACGCCTGTAATCCTAGCACTCTGGGAGGCCGAGGCAGGTGGATTGTTTGAGCTCACGAGTTCGAGACCAGCCTGAGCAAGAGCGAGACCCCGTCTGTACTAAAAATAGAAAGAAATTAATCAGACAACTAAAAATATATAGAAAAAATTAGCTGGGCATTGTGGCGCATGCCTGTAGTCCCAGCTACTCGGGAGGCTGAGGCAGATGGATCGCTTGAGCCCAGGACTTAGAGGTTGCTGTGAGCTAGGCTGACGCCACGGCACTCTAGCTGTCTCAAAAAAAAAAAAAAAAAAAACCTCACACGGCCTGTCAGGTGTGACAGAGACACAGATGGCCCCGAGGCCCCAGGAGGGAAGCCGGATGTGAGAACTAGCCCAAGAAGCACTTTCCCACACCTGTCGCCTCACCCCACCCTCCCACCTGGGGGTGTGGAAAGCAGGACTTCTGACCCCACTTGACATGAGGCACAGAGAGGTCACTCCAATATTGCTTGGTCACACAGCCATGGAGTTAGAGCAGGACAGAGGCTCCGTAGTCCAGTTCCAGCCCACTGGGCCCTCATGCTGGGGGACAAGAGGCCCTTGGCTCTGTCTAGCGGCCAAGTCAGTCACAGGAAGTTGACTTTAAATGGTGGCAGTGAGATGCTCGGTGGAAGGGCAGCCTTTCTGCCTGGGTCGCTGGAGCGACCTCTCGTCAGACATCCAGCTGACCCACCCCGTCGCGTAGACCATTTTGGCAGGGGGTGGGGGCACCACTTTATAGTCCATAGCCCTTCACCTCCACAAAAATAACAACAGCACGCCCCGTCAAGTTTAACAAACTGAGCGGCCGGAAGAACACGCGGGTCTTGTTCTAGATGACAGCAAGCTAGGCTGACCTGGACGCGGGGACGTCGGCCCTGAGCAAGGCGGGCATCCTGAAATACGCGGTGGAGAGCGGAGGAGAAGGGCCGTCAGCAACACAAATGAGCCCCTCTCTACCAGCCCCCAAATTAGGAATGTCCTTGTCCTCTAACAGTAAGAAATGTTATCCCACTGCCAAGGTTTTTTTCTCCTTGCAGAAAACCTACACAGGAAGGCTAACAGAGGAAGGTCCGTGGATGTGGAAAGGGCCTTTCTGAGCAGGAAAACCCACCTTCGTGAGCAAATTGCTCTGTCGGGAATCCGGTGGGAGCCTGGGATGGATGTAGAGTGACGACACCCAGAGCTTCAACAAGATGATTTATCTGGAACTGTTATTAATACCTTGGTCCTCAACATTGTTTTGCTTTAATGGGTTTATTGGCATTCAAAGCTATTTGAGCCACCAGGGCCCCACGGGTTGGTAACCATTTTGTGTAAAGAGCCAGTAGTTAATATTTAGACCTCGCAGGCCACACAACCTCTGTCTCAAAGACTCAAGTCAGCCATTGTGTCGTGAAAGCAGCCACAGACAGTACACAATTGAATAAGTGTGGCTTCGTTCCAGCGCAACCTTACTTATGAAAACAGGCAGTGGGTCAGATTTGGCCCATCCCTGTGGGTTTGCTTAGACATTCCCCTGCGGGGATGGGTTTGGGGGGGGTCAGAAGGGTGGAGGCTGAGATCTGAGCCTTTCTGGGGCCAGGCCCCAGGCATGTCTGCTGCAGTTCCTGTGAGCCCCATTATTAGAACTAAAGACCACGGTCAGAGCTGGACTGTTGCCTGAAGAACACAGCCAAGAATGGGAGAGGGAGGAGGATGTTTCGTTAAGACAAATGAACAACACCTCACTACTACCCCCCAACCCCACCAAATTAGGAACATCCTTGTCCTCTGACAATGAGAAATATTATCCACACGTCTAAGGTTTTTTCTCATTGCAGGAAACCTACAGAGGGAGGCAAAGAGAAGTTTCATAGATGTAGAGAGGGCTTTTGTAAGCAGGGAAACCAGCCTTTGAGAGCAAATGGTTCTGCCACAGTGTCACTGGACTCAGATCCCGGAGGCAGAGAGGTTAGGAACATAGGCTCTGACATGCCACCCCAGGCCCGGGCTCTCTGCCACGTAAGACACAACACCACACAAGTCACACATCCACGCAGAGCTCAACTGCCCCGTCTGCGAGATGCTGCGGATGATATTAGGGCCACCTCGCGAGACAACGTGCACAGTCCTTAGTCTTAGTCAGTGCCTTGGGCCTGCGGAGGGTGGGTCTTCCTCCTTCTTTTACTCCTTTAATCCGGGAGACAACAGTGAAAATGTCAAGCATAGAGAGAAAGATCATCACAGCCCTGTCCCCTGGGAGGGTTCCTGCCCACCCAGAAGCCTTGGGTCTGCTGGGGTATCCTCCCCTCCGAGCAGAAGACAGGAAAATGTCACGTGGCTGCAATGTCCTGCTGGAAATCACACAAAAGTGGCAGGAAGAGGGGAAGAATGAGAGGTGGGAAACTCAGAGCTCCATCCATCAACCAGGAGCCACCCTGACCTCTTGGGGTAGCTGCAGTTCGTCAGAGCTAAATTAATCTCACCATTATGTTATGCACAAAAATAAAGGACTCCTGGCTGAACCACAGGGGGACGCGTCATTTCCTGTGCAGACCTCGATGGGCACACAACAGGGAATGTGGACGTCACTAGGCATTGTGTGACACCAGCGTGGGGTGCTCAGAAGGGGCCACCAGCCACGTCACTGTTCCCATGGTGCCGGGGCTGAGTTTCAGGGCAGTTGTCCCGCTGGGCGGCCCCGCCCTGGCACGCACATTGCATCCTGTGGCTCACGGAGGGAAGCTGCGGGCAAGGTCTCTTTTGCACTTCATGATAAGCAGTTTTCCTCATTTCAGACAAGAACAAAATGAGGCTCAAAAACGTGATTTGGGGCACCTAGCTCACACATTCACAGCAGAGATAGAAATAGTACTTAGATCTGCAATCCTGACTCCAAGCCAGTGACCTTTCTACCGGGCTGATCACCCTACGGCTCCACGCAAACAGCATCAAGTGGTTGCTGAGAAAACTTTGCAAAGGGAGTTACAGAGGCAGTGTTTCAGCTCGCCACCCCACGCTATTTTTCTTTTGTATAGAAAGGAATTTTCCGTATGGAGAAAGGCATAATTAATGGATAACTCCTTTAACTTTCTCCTTTTAAAATGCCATTCCCCTGACTCCAGAGGATAACAGGAATCCAAGTCCTTTGCCCGATTCCAGATAATCATCTCGAAAGCACGGACGTGTGCTCGAGTGGCTCCCACCACCATCCTACATTATTTGTTTCATGTCTGTCTCCTTCAGCAGGTGTGAGAGCTGTTTTGCACAGGGACCCCTCCCTCTGGCATGCCCTAAGAAAGAATAGGTAAACAATAGGCACATGTAAGTGTGAGGTGCACAAAACACCTCACAGGGTGGGCATACAGGCGACGTGCATAAATGTCCTGTGATCTCAATTATGCTTAAGACAGTGGGAGTGAGATTCAGGCGATCAGGCTCACAGAGAGAAAGTAGCTGGCGGCTGCCAGGGGCTGGGGGAGAGGAGGACAGGGATGTGGCTTCATGGGCACAGAGTTTCAGTTTTGCAAGGTGAAGGGAGTTTTAGAGACAGATGGTGGCGATGGCTGCACAACGATGTCACTGAACTGTGCACTTAAAAATGGTTACAATGATAAATTTTATGTTATGTATATTTTATCGTAAGTAAAATCACTTTAAAGAGAGACACTGAGAGGGAGATATTCAGGTAATCATAAAATAAAGAAAAGAAAAAGGTTCTGTTTTGCCAAGAGGAACAAACAAGCATATAATTGGCTGCACTATTTAAAGGTCTTCCTAGCAGGACTAGGGAACCTGACTGTACCACCCCTTCCCTTAAAGCCTACAGTGGTTCACCATTACTCATTGAACCCAAACTCCTGAACTTGGCAGATAAGCCCTGCATTACCTGGCCCTGACCCATGGGACAGGAAGAAAGGACTCCCACATGTCTGCCCACATGCCAGGGGAAAGCCTCCTACGTTGTCCAGACCAGGGTGGGGGACGGGAAGACAGCCAACTGCGGGAGGGGTGGGGGGATCAAGGCGCAGGGCAGAAAGGGGAAGGAGAGAGACAAGCCTGCGCGGCCTGAAGAGAGAAGTGTGGGTGCTTGGGGGTGGGGCCACTGAGAGAATATTTGGGGGAGCAAATGCCCACCGTGGGTGAGACCAACATTGAGAGAAATGAGGGAAGAAGACCTGGGAGAAGTTTTAAGTTATGTAGACTCCCTGCTGTGTCAAGAGAGAGCGCAGCAAATACTGCAGTTTTTGTTTTCAATTAGGGATCATTACTTGCAATTCTTTTTCAGTTATCCGGAATGTGAAATTCATGCTTTGCAGAAAGGGCCGTCACGCCAAGACAGGGCCGCGGGGGCTGGGCTTTCTAAGAGCCATCGCTGCCTTTCCAGAGGTGCCTTGCGACTGGGCGACACTGACATTTGCATTCGCCCTCACACACACACACCGCGCCGTCTCTCCCAGCCCCTGCCCCGGCTGTTCCTGCCCAAGACACCCCCGCGGAAGCCCCGCCTGACCCGGCCCAGACCTCGCGGCCTCCAAAGCCTGCCTGGGCTGGGCATGGCCCCCGGCTCCGCGGCCCTTAGCTCTCTGTTGCACTGTCTACTGTTGCTTTGGACAAATGGCTTTATGAGAATTATTTGTAAAAAGCCCATTTAGGGTCTGCTTCTCCCACCAGACTCGCGGCACCCTGAAGGCAAGGCAATGTTTTATTCGTCCTCGTTTTCCCAGCCATGAGCACAGCACAAAGTACCTGGCCTATCGTGTAGTTTCGGGGAGGGGGAGATCACTTAACCTTTTAGGGCCTTGATTTCCTCCCCCTAAAAGTAGGGTTTAGGGAACACGATCATTGAGAGGAGCAAATGGGACAAGGGATAAGAGAGGGCTCTGGAGACTGCTTTGGGAGAGCCTTGGGACCCTCCCTAAGCTGTAAGACAACTTCATTCACGCTTTTCATTTCTTACACACTCCCCAAAGCAGACGCTGTATCTTTCCATTAGGGGGGTTACTGGACCCACTATCCCCTTCCAGAAACGGGGCAGCCTGTGGGAAAGATGGCCCCACGAGGCCAGGGCTGGCCTAGCAGGGAAGGCTGGCCTCCCAGTGGCTGGGCCTCTACCCCAAGGGATGTGTGAAAACATTGAGGCCCCACGGGCGGTCACCACGGCTTCCGGCAGCTGCGCTCCTGCCAAGAAGTCTGGCACCTTTCCCACCGAGTTTCCACGAGAACCTCAAATCTAGTCTCAGATCTCCAGCTCAGACCTGGGGGCAGGGAGCACTCTACTGCATAGGGCTGTGGGAGCAGAGCTGGCCTGGGTACCCCAGAGAGAGTCCCATCTCCTCAGCGCCGGGTCATGGATGGTGGCTCTCACTACGAGCTCGGCCCTGCTCCCCCTCTGCGGGCACCAATTCCCAGGAGGAAGGAGGTACGACCTAGGTCTTATAATCACGGATCAGAGCAGCGCCTCCTAAAATTACCAGGATCTCTACTTATAGCCCATCTTACTTGAAGAGGCTCTTGCTCACCATTTCTGCGAGGGGTTTCAGTCTGCAATAAAAGAAGTTACATTACAAGAGATGTGGTATATAGAAAAAAAGAGGGGATTTTTCCTCTTCTGCTCTGTGCTAGGACATTGCACTCTAAGAGAAGGGTGATTGAAAACACATATCTGGGACTGGTGAAGAAACAGAATCTGGTTAAGCTAGAGAATAAAAGGCTTTGACAGGCTCTTATTTTAAACAGGAAACAGACACATTCTGAGTAGACTTGGGGCCTGGAATCAGGACAAAAACGTAAGAGGTCCAGGGAGAGACGGACGTATCAATTCATTGTGAGAAAGAATTTTGGACAGTCCCAGCTACAGAAGGGGACCAACCCGCCACTGAAAGTGTTCCAGCCAAGGGTGGGAAACGCTGCCCCTGACCTGCAAGGTGACTTGCTCATGGGTGCCACGTCCCAGCATGTCCCTATCCAAGCCGACTTTGGTCCAAACGTGTATCACTGGAAGAAAGTTTTCTCTTTCTGAAGCCACCCACATAATAGACCTCAAAACTGAGGGGAGAATGCTTTAGTGACCGGGAAAGCTAACTCAATCGGAAGAAGTAGGCAACCACCTCTCACCTAAAAAAGCCCATTTAAATTACGTAAGTCCTGCAGCAGCTCCCCTTTCTGACACTTGGGGAAAAAGATCCACCTAGTTTCAGATTTCATCATCCCAATTCCTAAAAATTTTTCTGCCCCCATACCTTGCAGTACACGCCAAGTGTTGAACTGAGATCGATCGTATTTAGAACCGGCATGCAGGGTGACCCTATGACCTAGTCAGGGCGTTTAGCCTTGTAAGGGCACTAAGGTTAGTTCACCCTGCTCTCACCCTGCTTACCAAAAGGCATGAGGCCAAAACGGAAACCTCACAGGAGATGCTATTTTTCATAAATAGCAGTTTACTCTTAAAGCTCTGGGGACGTAATCCCATCATTTCCTAGAGTTGATATTCACTGCCTGCCCACCCCAGGCCAGGTAATGTAGTCAGCACTTTACGCCCAATGAATCCTTGACCAGTCCTGCAAGATGACACCAGCTCTTTTTTCATGAGGGGAAATGAAGCTCAGAGAAGTTAAAAGATTTGAACAAAATCACCCAGCAATTACGAGGCTGAGCTTGGGTTCGAATCCAGATCTGACCGAGTCCATTGCTGCTAAGAGGAGCTAAAATGTCTTCCCCCTCAGTATGAAAAAGGGTTCCAACAAAATTTAGCTTGAGCTAAGAGTAGCAAAGGTTAACTTTATATTCTATTTTCTATTCTACTTCAGGTCTAAAATGTAAAGCTTTAAGATACCAGCGTTAAAGACAATAAAGAGTTTACCTACGAAGAGCCTTCGAGGTCACCAACTCGAGTGGCTGCGAAGACGTATTGGTGCCACAGGCCTCTCTGGGGTTCAGACAAAAGCCGTATCCCTCTCTCCACACCCCCCAAGAAGCACATTGACACGGCGTTTTTCCCACACCCTCATGGTCCTCAAATTAAGAATTTCCTTTCGTAGGTGGGAAAACCGAGACTCAGAATTTAAGTGCCTTGCCCAAGGTCACAGGGCCAATTCCCAGTCTGATGTGCTTTCCACCCCACTGCACTGCCCACTTCAAATTCCGGATCAGAAACTTCCTTTGTAAAACATAGCACATTTCTACCCAAAATACCACTTCCTTCTTCGCGTTTTTAAATAGTCCTGAGATTCCATTGTATTTCTGTCCTCGTAGTGGCAGGCCGGGGTCACCGGGCTGCCTTTCATGAGCGTAGTGAACGCGCTGGCTGTTTGCTAGAGGAAGAGCACCAGTAAAGATTCTTCACGACCTTTCTGCAAAGTTCACCTCGTCTAAGAACTGAACCCAATTCGACTGAGGCGAGAACCCTGCTAGTCGCGCTTACATCTGGCTGGCGCGGGAGCCACTGTCGACTAGAGAAAAGAAGGAAAAGGCGTATGAGGTTTGAACGATGTCATGGTGGTAGGCGGACAAGTTCTAATCTCATTTTCTACCTCCCGTCTCCATCGTCCAGAGACGCTTAACGGAAGAAGAGGCTGCAGGCTGCAAACGGGCTTCGCGTGCGGGGAAGGAAGGAAGCGATGCTCTCAGCCAGGACCGCAGGCAGGGCTGGCGGGAGTGTGCGCACGGTGCTGGCCACAGAGTGGGCGCCCCACGCCGCCTCTGCGGTTCTACTTACTGTCATCTTCACTCGGATCCCTGTCCATGGTCCAGACGTCCAGCCAAGGAGGTGTCTGTCTTTTCAGTAGGCTCAGGTCACCGGGATCTGAGGGGACCACCCTCGGGCCCCTCCCAGGATGGCGGGTCCATTGTTACCAGATTTGAATACAGCAGAGGCAAACATGCGGGGTGTCCAGCACAGCAGCTGCTCTGCACCCAGCCCACAGGGCTCTCGGAGCTGCTCCTCGCAGGAGCCTTCACTTGCCACGCTCTGTGCGTGCTGCCGGCTCCTGTGTCCTCACGGCAGCCCTACACGAGAGGCACGTTTTTCTGAGCTGGGATTCCAACCCTCACTGCTCTGACTCTCAAGGCAGAGTGCTCGGCTGCTGTGCTGTCTCGCCCCACTGTAGGAGGCAGCCTCCTAAGGATCGTGGGGGAGAGGGGACGTGCAGAAACCTTCAATAAGCACAAGGAGGCTCCCTCCCCAGGGAGGAGAGGAGATACAGAGGCTCAGGCTGAGTGGGATCTCTGAAGTCTTGGGCACCACCAGCCTCCTGGCCTCCCTGGGGAAGAATCGAGGCTGGGATTGCCAGGCGATGCCCCAGAGGCACACGTGGTGTGGAGAGAGCGGGCTCCCCATCCAGGCTGCGAGGCCACTACTGTCTCCATACCAGCCCCACCCCCGTGAAACATCTGTGAATTTTTAAAAAGCCTTTTCCTAAGCCTTTTGCATTGGAGCTCGGAGCTCATTCAACCCTAACCCTTGGAAGATCATCCCTCTGCTCTAGATAAGCCTAACGACGGACACTTGGAGGTGCGTCACCGGGCGGTGGAGGCAGAGAGCCTGTGAGCCGGTCCCACGCCGCCACAGCATCCTTGGCAGTGACTCCTCCACGGCGGCCATGGGGCTGTCTGGCCGGGGCGGCCTTGCTCCACAGGGCAGTGCAGCCACCCAGGGCTTGGCTTGCCCGGCCCAGCGATGCCCGTGCGGATGTGCCAGGACACTCTGTAACGAAGACGGGGCGTGTGTGTTCACCAGAGACGAACCTGGGTGATGTTGTCAGCATCCCGAAGCTCACAGACGGCCGCATTGAGCACGGGATGGCTCCCGGCCACCCCCTAAAGTGCCTGTGTTCTCTCTCTCACCATCACCCTCGTCGCTCACTGCCCACCCCCAACAGAATGCCAGCGCAGTCACGGAGGCAGCAGCAATAACGTCACAAATGCTTCTTAAATACGGTCAGATGACTCAGTCCCCGCAGATCGGTTTCCACGGTTGGTAGGAGCACTGAATTTCTTAAAACTCGAGAGTTGTATAAGTTTCATTACTGTGTGTACATGAGAAAGGCCACGATCCTGAGGAAGGAACGTGGTCTTTTGATACCTTTACACATTAAGCGATGATTTTAAGTCCTTGCAGAACTGTCCCCCTGGTAACGGGACTATCGCGTACGTGCGTGCCTCTGTGTGTGTCCACGTCCACGTCGGTTTATGCATGTGTTCTCGTGTGTGCGTGTTTAAGCCTAAACATGTCAGGTGATAAATAGGTAGATCGATCAGTGATAGAACAGGTGTGGCTTTAACTACAACAATATGCCACCATTTCATCTTGAATACTTTTTAATCAGCATTGTATGGTTACCGAAAACCTTCCTCGGCATTTAAAACAAACAGCCATAGGAAATTACTTAAATGGCAAATAGAAGGGACAGAATGTGAAAGCAAATTATGTGTTACACAAACCAGAAATCTAGAGGCTGCAAAAATGCAGACGGCCACGAGCTGTACCTGAGGAACACATGGGTGCTGACCAGCAGGAATGACAGTCCTTGCCGCACACGAGTCAGACGACGTAGTGGCAAGTTAATAAACAGCTCTTAAAATGCATGGAAGATGAACAAACTAACTCCTAGAGCTTTCTAATCTCGCTTAGGCATCAGTACAGAAATGCTGTCCGCAGGGCGTGCTTGAGTGACCTGGGGCAAATAAAGCCCCCTCAACACCCGGCGTTCACGGCGGCAGCAGAAATAAGCAGCATTACTCCTAGGATTCGGGCCAGTATGAGGCCAGTACTGGTCCCCACCTCCTGCTGGTATTAAAGGAGTTGGGGCGGGGGAAGAGAGGCACCGACTCTGTGCCAAGCATCCTCCAACCATTGTGCCTCACTGCTGCTGGGGGCGAGGAGGGCCCCCGAGAGCTCTTCCTGAACTGGTCCTCAGCGGGCAGTCCACGGATGTGAACCGTGTCCTGCACACGCTGAGCGCTCGTGGAACAGTGTGGGGCTAACACGGCTGTCCGAGAGCTAACTCTATCCATCAGTTGCCGTCGGGAACCTTGTTTGTTCTTGGAAACAAAGTCTATGAAATCTCTCGGGCTAGTTTCTCAGTCTTGGCAGTGTGTCATGGCTGCGGGAAGCACTAGGGCAGGGCAGAGTGCTAGAAGGAGCCCAGAAACCACAGCGTACGACTGCAGGCGAATGGGACTGCAGGGGGATGCCTAGAAGGACGGCTCAACCGTTGTCTTCAAGTATTTCAAGTGCCGCCTGGGGAGGAGGCGGGACACCGACCCTATGAGCAGGCAGAGGCAGCAGGCGTGGAGAGCTGCTCCCGGGTGGAGATCCTTTCCAGCCTGACAAGGAGGGGGTCTGTCCAGTGAGCAGCGTTTCCGTCCACCGCACTTGGCCCTCTGAAGCACACTGAAGCAGAAGCTTGATGATCGAACAGAGTGCGCAGTAGCAGAACGTAACAGTTTATGGCATCAGAGTCAGGGCAAACTACGTTCAAAGCCCAAAAGTGGATGCTGCAGCACTACAGCCCCTTTCTGGAACATTCCTGAAGGACAGTGGTGAAGGGAAACCCTCCCCATGGGCAGAACTTTGAACAGTGCCTGGTCTGATTATTTTTTTGGTCTCAGAGGAGGAAGCTACTGCTTAGCTCTTGCTAGAGCCCTCCAACAAGAGTCAGCCCCTGCTGGCCTCCTCCCTGTGACAAACCTCAGTCCCCTTGTGGCTGTTTCTTCTCCCTGAGACGAACACTGTGTCTGTCCCCGGCTCCCTGATTAACTCCCTCAGGCTGGCCCTGGGCTCCTTCCTCCGTCAGTGAACGGGAGTCACCAGGGTCTGTCCGTAATACCAATTCCCCGGCTCCATCCCCAGAAATCCCGATTAAGTATGTCTGAGGGGGAACCTCGGGTTAAGGATTTTTTTTTACAGTCCCACCAGGTGATTTCAACTCAAGTGGTTCATACTTTAAAAACCACTGTTTTAGGGAACCGGTTCATCACAATCCAGCAACTTAACTTTTTATTTCTTAAAAGGGTCATTTCAAGATATAACCAATAGAAGCTTAATGAGGTTAACCCACTGTCTGTCTTACATTTTTTCCCTTTTATAGAGGGGACTTTCTTGGGCTCAGATGAAGACAGCTTATGACATTGCATTGAGAAGAGTTTCCTTCCATTGGATTGGGCCATTTTACAGTCACAAGGCATTTTCCTAAATGTTATCTCAGTTAGCGACAGCTTCAATTTGAGCAATCCTAGGACATTCAGATAAAGATGCCATCTATCCTGTGTCTCCTCTCTTGTTCTGACCCCAGAGTGCCACCATAACTATCTGATACATTGATAACATCAAGAATTCACCAGTAATGTTCAGTTAGGCAGGATTCAGACACTGGCTTTACACGTAGGCAAGTAGAAAGGCTCATTCCGGCAGAGGCAAGCTGTTTTCACAAAGGTGGTGGCGGTCACGGTTATACAAACACCGTTTTTTTGCAATAAAGTACACATAACATTTACCACCTTAACCATGTTTAAGTGTCCACTTCAGGGGCATTAAGGACACTTATGCTGTTGTACAACCATCGCCACCATCCATCTGCAGAACTCTTTTTCCATGGGACAAGACTGAAATTCCTTGCCCTTTGAATAAAAACTCCCTGCCTCTCCTCCCAGCCCCTGGAAATCTGACTGCTCTAGGTACCTCATGTAAGTGAATCCTATAGTATTTGTCCTTTTGTGAGTGGCTGATTTCACTTAGCATAGTGTCCTCGAGGTTCGTCTATATTGCAGCAGGTGTGAGAATTCCCTCCCTTTTTACGGCTGAATAATATCCATTGTATGGATAGACCACATTTTGTTAATCCGTTCATCTGGTGATGGGCACTTGAGTTACTTCCACCTTTTGGCTGTTGTGACTAATGCTGCTATGAGCACGAATGCGCAAATCTCTCTTCAAGACCCTACTTTGAATTCTTTCGGATATATACCCAGAAGGGGAATTGCTGGATCATACGGTAATTCTATGTTTAATATTTTGAGGAACCTCCATCCTGTTTTTCACAGAGGCTGTGGCATTTTACATTCCCACCAACAGTACACAATGGTTCTACTTTCTCCACACCCTCACCAACACATTTTCTGTTTATATAGCACTTTACAGTTTGCAAAATATTACTTATCTCCACTCAACAGGCATTTTTGAAAGGCTCAGAGAGGTTGAGTGACTTGCCCAAGATCACACAGCAAGAAGCCCGGCTGCAGCCTCCTAACTCCTGGCTTGGCACCACCCCCTCCACACAGACATGTAGGGGTGCTGGTTCCCAATCCACCGCACTCTCTCTGGGCGAAGGTCTCACCCCACCATCTGCAGAGCTCTCACTCTCTGCTCCCTGTGCATCTACTCAGCCCATCTAAACCCAGAGCCACCCAGAACCCCCACGGGAGCCAAGATGCCAACAAAGGAATTCTGCCCCAGAGGGCCCAGCAGCCACGATAACATTGTTGTTGGCTTATCTGCAGGCTGGGTGGCTGGAGGCCAGTGGTGCCCATGGCAGGAATCGAGGATGGAGTGGAGGAGAATGGCCTTGGCACAAATAAGAAACGTGTCCAAGTGGGAGGTTCCTGGAACGCTGTGCCCGATGGAGCCAGGGAAACTGGCACATGCCTTCAGACCTGGTCATGGGCTTCTCACTGCACCGACAGAAGACTGCCTCCCAAACGCCAAGGATGAAAGGAGATGCTTTCACGGTGCTTTCTCACCTAAACCTTCACAACAACCCCATAAGAGAGATATGGTTCTC